AATTTCGCTGTCCTTGCCCTGCTGTAACTACACCATTTTTTTTTTTTTAACCTGTTTTCAGGGAATTTACATTCTGAAATGGTTTGGAGTTAGCTGTCTGTCTCCCTGGCTGGAGTCTGTTAGGCTCCGGTGAGGGTCCAGACCTACCTCTCTTTGTATTCGTTGGATGCCACCAGTTCCAGAAGCATCATCATGATTTACTTCTAGCCTATCCCAAGTGGAACTATCTGGCAGAACCAACCTGGCAGTAAAAAGAATTCCCCAACCTAGAAGCATGGTGAAGGGTCTTCTGAGCAACGAGAGAGAAGGCACCCCCCGATGCACACGTCCCCAAACCTCACCCACCCTCCTGCTCTTTCCAACCCCATGCATTCCAAGCACACCCACCCTTCCCACTTCATCAGGTCACTTGCCAATAAACTCTAATGAAAAGTTAAAAAAAAAAAAAAAAAGACCTCTCAAAGAGCGAGATACTTCAGTGAGAGACTAGATTAAACTACTCTTAGGACAGCTCTGCCTTTTGTTGCCTACAAATAAAGGATTCCATGATAAATTCCCCTCTGGCTACACCTCCTTTCCACAGCACCTATCCACACCTCCTAAGCATCATCCCCACCAAAATACTCATGCAACGAATACACGGAACGCCTTTCAGTTTTCCCTCTGACCTCCCTCCAGGTCGTGGTCACAGCCTTCATGACGCCTTCGCATTTCCCCACCCAAATCCGTCACTCTCGTGTCTACACTTCCACAGAACTTGGAAGTACACTAGTAAAAGTATAAGCATTACTCTTCATCTTCCAGATTCTCTTATAAGCTGTAAAGCTGTAACCATCTCAGTCATTTTCCCTTCATCGGCAATGTGTTGTACATGTTAGGTGCTCAATTGATTGACGTCACTACAATGTGTTTAGCACTGTGTGCAAGGAACCACACCAGCCACTGTCACAGGAATGGAAAACACCATCCTTCAAGGTATAAGAGAAACCCCAAGGCTACTCAGGCAGTTAATGGCCAAGTCAGGATTTCATAGGATCTACTCAACACCAAAGCTTTTGCCACTTCACTGACGCCATTCTGCCTTTCAAGGGAGAAAAACGAAATGGAACACTAAGGTGAAAAAGCCTCGGCTCACTGGTCAGTCAACCCACTGCAAACTTCCGCTTGATTTCTCATCAACCCTAGACTTTAAGGCATGGCCAGTATATGTAATAAAGTGTGTTTTACAAATTATCCTATTTGGAATCACTGGAGCATGCAGCTATATTATGGAAAAGCCTTTCATTTCAGTGCCTCACAATGAGATGGGATGTCTCTACATACACATAGAATGTTTTAATGAAGCCTAGATGTACTCTACAAAAAGCCCATGTATTCTTTCATACTTTTCCTTAGGGGTAAAACAACCAAATTAAACTCGAGAGAATACCACCCATCTTCTTTTAAAAGAGCACACTATCCAAATGGCTACAGGTTTCTGCAGTTTGATAAAATCAGGACAAACACCTGAAACAGAGAGAAAAGAGGGGCGAAGCCCCGTTTGATGAGTCAAGAGAGGCAAATGGCAACAGCCAGTGAGAAAAGGCTTCAGGGTTTGACAGCACTGGCTTCCAAACTCCCTCTGTCACCAGCTAGCTGTGGGGTTTTGAGACAGTATCAGGGGGTTTCAGCTTCGGGAAAACCCCTGGCCCTCTCAGAGGTCATAATAAGCAGGTGATAACAACAGCACGTGAAACACACAAGCACTTGGTAAATTCACCAACTTAAATTCCACACCCCATGCTTAAGTGCCTAACCTGTAGGACTTACCTGACTCAGATCAGAAGTTGAGTGGCCTTTGTTTCTCTTTTGATTACCGTGAAGACTTGGTAAGCATTAGATCTGCTTAAAATGAGCTGCTGAAAAGCTTATGGAGTGGAAGGTGAGGGGCAAAAGCAAACCAATGGTTCCCTAGAGAAAAAAAGGCGTTTGCTAACAGCTTAAGCAACACTAAACTCTCCAACAAACTGGATATTACAAGCTTAAACTCTCCCAAACAAGTCATTTGGGCTAAGGGCATGTGTAATTAAAGTTAAAGGCATACTAAAATAACACTTTAGCTGGTGACCTGAAAGAACCTTTTGAAAAGCTCAACCAAAACATTAGTGCACGTAGGAGGGACTTGACTTTTTGTCTATTACAGACAGCATTGCAGGGCAACACTGCATACATCCCTCTGCCTCCAAAGAAAAGCACTGATAGACCGTTAGAGCCAAGCTGCCCTAAACACAGATGTATTCAATCCTGTGGTTTTTGTTTTTTTTTTTTTTTTTTTTTTTTGCGGTACGCGGGCGTCTCACTGCTGTGGCCTCTCCCCTTGCGGAGCACAGGCTCCGGACGCGCAGGCTCAGCGGCCATGGCTCACGGGCCCAGCCGCTCCGCGGCATGTGGGATCTTCCCAGACCGGGGCACGAACCCGTGTCCCCTGCATCGGCAGGCGGACTCTCAACCACTGCGCCACCAGGGAAGCCCTCAATCCTGTTTTACACACCTGAATTTAACAGTTCAGAACTTAAATTTCTAGTACTGGGAAAGGGATAAGAGGCTTAGTTGTGTTGACCACTGAAACACACCAGTTACCAGTTGATTCAGAAATCTCACCGTGCAGACCAGAGCATCAGTCAAAAGCTCAGAGCATCAGCCAGAACCTTCCCCTGCAACACACACATAAACACACCCATGCTGGGCTTATGCTACACTTTTAAAGAGAAGCAAATAGTGAAACACGTCATTTACAACGTTTCTCATGAAAGGAAAGAAGTTTTGCAGAGGGTAGAAAACCACAATTCCTGCCACAGACATATTGATTACTGACCCACAGGAGCCACTTAAATGCTGACTGGATCATCAGTGATGAGTGAAATCATCTACGTCTAGTCACAAAGCCCCCTCTTTGCTATCGCTGGTCTTTTTAACTCTCAAGTAACTGGAATAAAACTTTTGACAGACCATGGTGGCAACGTGTTTTCAGAACTCCTTTGGCAAATACATCACAGTTTGTTACAACAGCACAAAAATGATTTTTCAAATCATACCTATGCATAACTTTCAATTAAATTTAGTTTTGATTGTAGAAAGATACTCTGGTTGTAATATTCTACTCACGTCTAAATTAGTATAGCAGCTTCACCGTTTCCGTTCTCCATATCTTCTCTGCAGAATTACACTAGTGAGCTAATATTTCATCTTTGTTCTATAGTAACACCTCACAAAATAACTTCCAACAAGATGGCACATCACCTATTACACCAGACTCGTGAGAAAAGTTGGACGAGAATGTCCAAAAAAAGGGGCTATGTGCCGATGTGCAATGCTCTTCATGCTTGTGGGATCTGAATCTCCTAGATTGCCGCTTCTAAGAGCGCTCTAAAACTACAGGTGCATTCAATGAAAACCAAGCGCCACCACAGACGCTCACGCAGGGAAACAGATGGAAATGCCACATTAATGCACTGCATGCACTGCAAGTTTGCCCAGCACACTGAACTAGTGAGGGACGACACACCAAACAGATCATGGTTTAAAATGTGATATCAAAACGCATTTTTAAATTCATACTCGCCTAGTTTCTACACATTGTGGCCATCTTATAATTTGACACAGTGAAGCTACCATACATTCTGGGAGCCTGACACATAAAGGACTTTCACCTATCTGAAGATGGTTGACACCACTCTGGATGAGCACATCCCGCTGCAAGGAACTCTGCCCTCTGGGTTGGTTAGGCAAAGTGCAAACTAAGGCTGCAAAGGGCAGGGCCGGGTTACTTGTTAAATGCATTTCCCTAGAGTACAGAGGCTGCAGGTGACTCCTCAGGCTGCCTCCTCACTGGCTGACACAGAAAAGGTCACCTGGGAAAATTAACTTCTCATCTCTGATGCTCCATTCCAAGACTGGCGGGGAGGAAAGGGAGGGTGAGCACGTTGACTACTCCCTTTTATTAGGCAAGCCTGTGGCCCTCACAACCAGCCAGAACCACAAAACATGCAGCAGGGTTCACTATCTTAACCCAAACCTGGTACCCCTGCCACCAAGGCCAGCCTGGGCAAAAGATTAACCTGTGATCCGCCACAGGGATCACTGACAGGGCCAACCCTGTTGAGAGAGTGTGCCAACTTTCTGTTTGTTTTAAAGGAAATACTTCCTGACACATGTTTGGTAAAGACTCTGAACTCTGCACATGAAGCCATGTGGTTGGCTCTAATCTGGCTCTATCCACTCAAGATCCGCCAAAGCAACCTCTTTCCGAGGGTAGACCCTGGCTGGGTAATCGACACTACCTCATTCAAGTCACGCGGCTCCAACCGGATCCCGGGGAGCCCAGCGCCGCGTCCTGTCCCGGCTGCAATCCTCCCGCGCGCCGCACGGGGGGGATGGGCGAGGTGCCCCTTTCAGCCGCAGCAGGAAAGGACTCCCACCTGTGGGGCCCAAACTGGCTCTTGCGGCCCAGGTGAAGCCCGAGGGGGCGGGGTAGGAGGAAACACCGCCCCTTCCAGGAAAGCCGACATTGCTAGTAGCAGAATGCGCGGGCACACTACTTGCGGAGCCCACCTGCAGCCACAGCAAACTTTGCTCCCCTTCTGAGTTGGAAGAAAAGGGTCCCTTACGCCACCCCCTGGCCCGAGCCGGCAACGTCCAGGAGCTCCGAGGGCTCCTCACCTGATACCCTTAAACGCCTAACTTGGTGTGTCCCGGGGCGCAGATCCAGCTCTGCCTCGCGCCACGGTGGGGTGTGCGGGGTAGAGGATTGGGGTGCCAGCTGGGGATTAGGAATTTGTGGGGAGAGCGGGAGGACGCCGCTCACTAGCCTTTGCAACTCCAGCTCCCAACTTTGCCAGCCACCCAGCCGCTGCCCTCCGGTTCCTCCGCGGCGCGCACCCGGCTCCCTCGGTTTCTCCAACCCTCCCTTAGGGAGAGAGCTCCCCAAGGCCGGTGGAACCCCGCGCGCCCGGCGCACTTACAGCCGTAGCGGGGTCTCTGCAGGGACGGCTGCTCCTCGTGGGGCATCCTGCGCGGTTCCGGGGGCCCGCACGCGGCGCGCCCCCCGCGGCTCCCCTCGCTGGCCAGGCTCGCCGCTCCGCGCCCAGCCGGCGCGCTAGTATCCGGCCTCTCGCGGCCCTCCCCTGGCCGCCCCGAGATGGGCGCCCCGCTCGCTCGGTGCTCCCTCGTCAGCGCCCGCTGCTGCCGCCGCGCGCTGACACCGGAGCAAAAGTGAACTCTCCTCCCTCGCTCGCTCCGGGCCGCCGCCGCCTCCCGGGCAGGTTTCCTTTCTCCTACGGCCCGGCCCCGTTATCCACCGCGGTGAGAGCGCGCGCCGCGGCGCAGCGACCTCTACCGCGCGCGGGGCGCAGCGCCCGGCCGCCTGGACCCGCCCCTGTCCGGCCCCGCGGCTGGAGGAAGGGGCTGCGCGGGCCCTGGGCCGGGATCCCCTGCCACTGGGGCCCGCGGCCGCCCCGCCTGCTTTTTCACTTGTGGAGCGTTTAGAGGGTGGAAGTGAACCTCTGCGGAGAAGAGCAAGAAAAACCGCAGAAGACACAGCCAGCCCCAGCCGCCCAGGGTGTTGCTCAGTTACAGAAGGACAAACAGCGTGGTTCCTTTTCGTCTGGGGAGATTGCGCCCTGACTTTTTTTATTTTTTATTTTTTATTTTTTCCCCTCGAACGTTGCTTCTGTGACTCCTTGTCTACAAAATACCGGGTTCCCCTTTCATGACCAGAAACTGAGAGTGTGTGTTTGCTGTAGGGACAAGATAAACACTCGCCGAGCAACCACTCAAAACACAACTGCAAGTCATCCTCGGATCACCTTGGGCCCGCTGCCCTCCCCCAAGTACAGAACTGTCGCCCAGCCCAGCTGGGGTCGCACACCACAAAAACCTTTTCCGGCTTAGCTTTTAAGGAAATTAAACTACCTGTGGCAGTTTTTAAAGATTTCGGGGGGGGGGGGTTTGTTTTGTTTTCATGCAGTCACCTGGAGCTATTTTTCTCTTTGTGCCTCAGAGTGATAAGATCTGGAGGAATGTGGACTCTTCTAAACCCGTGTCCTCACCTGCTTGTCAAATGTGGAATGTGTGGGTTGCTAAATAAAATAATTGGCTGCCTAAATAAACTAATTGGAGTTATAAGAGATGATTTCTTTGGAGAAAAGGTGGCATAGTGACACTAACCATTTTGTAGTCTGCAAAGATAGAGGGTGGCCAGCTGGTTTCCATTTCACGTGGGAGCTGCAGTCCTTCTCAAACTTGTTGAAACTCAGATTCTGGGGGCCCACCCTCAGAGTTTCCAGTTCAGTTGGGTCTGGACTGGGGCTCATGAACCTGCATTTCTAACAAGTTCCCCTGTAATGTTAGAAAATAAGCACGAGGCATCTCAGCTGGACTCAGGGAAGTGTCTTCCCATGGGAGAGCAAGGAGGTTCTATCCCACTCCCCTGGTTGGAATGGGCTGAGTGGGCCTTTTCTCCCTTAAAAAGCAGATGCCTCGGGCTTCCCTGGTGGCGCAGTGGTTAAGAATCCTCCTGCCAATGCAGGGGACACGGGTTTGAGCCCTGGTCTGGGAAGATTCCCCCATGCCGCAGAGCAGCTAAGTCCGTGCACCACAACTACTGAGCCTGCACACTAGAGCCTGTGAGCCACAGCTACTGAGCCCACGTGCCACAACTACTAAAGCTCGTGCTCTGCAACAAGAGAAGCCACAGCAATGAGAAGCTCGCTCACCGCAAGGAAGAGTAGCCCCACTCGCCACAACTAGAGAAAGCCCGTGTGCAGCAACAAAGACCCAATGCAGCCAAAAATAAATAAATAAGCAGATGCCTCTTTTTATAAGAGCAATTCAAAGGTGAAATGGCCACATTTTGAGGCACAGCACCCTGTCAGTCAGTGTTCACTCAGACAGGGGCATGTTCAAGGGGAATTTCCTGTGTTTCTGGACATGTTGAATCAGATATCTCAAGTTCATTTCACCTCTATGATTCCATGTATTAAGTACTACAATTAAAGCTCACACATATCAATTTTCAGTATGAGTGTATGATTTAGGACCCAAATAAGTGGGTAGTTTAGGGAATTCCCTAGTGGTCCAGGGGTTAGGACTCTGGAGCTTCCACTGCAGGGGCCAGGGTTTGATCCCTGGTGAGGGAACTAAGATCCCACATGCTGTGCGGTGTAGACAAAAAAAAAGAGAAAAGAAAAAGTGCGTAGTCTATGTATTTAGAGGTGTTAGGAAAGTCACTGTAAACTGGAATGGTCAAGGAAGGTGATAGGGTTTGAACATACGGTTTGAGGCAGACCTTGAAGAAGAGTTGGAAGGAGAATGCCTACTCCTGGAGGACAGGCAAGGACAAGGGACAGTGGAGTGGGGCATGAGGTTGGCTGAGGGTGGGAGATTTGAAGCTGGTATCAGATCATGGAGGACACTGAATATGGGCAAAGAGGACGGGATATTATCACAGAAGCATTTGAGAGCTCAAAGGTTTGGGGTACGGGAGCTGCATGATGCAAGGGAGTATAGGGAAGGGGACTCTTGCAGCAGGTTATAGGATGGATTTGAGTGGGGCAGCTGGAAGGTGCTGATACCTGGTGGAAGGGGCTCTGGCAGAAGCAGAAGAGGGAAGTAAGGAGAGCTTCAGTGAGGTTGATTGACGCCAGTGTGATAAAGGGGTAGTTTTAATACAAACAAGTTGGTGTCATCGACACATATAGATATCACCAAATGTAATAAATAAAGTAAATATCTGTTAATGGTAGAAAGTGAAGGTTAAAGCAAAAATAGGTGGTCTGCAGGAGAGTAGTTCTAAGTTCATGTTCCAGCTGGTCAGCTCTTCTCTGAAGGCTCTGGGGAGGTTTTAAAACTCTGTCGTGGCTAACGTTTCTATGGAGAACTTAACGCTAAGAAGAAATTGTAAAAGCAAATGCTCCTGATTTATTTTCCAAGTGCTGAAATGAATCTTTGGGATTTCAGTCTGCATTCACTGGGTAACTGCTATCTCACAGATCACTTCTTTGCAGAATCTCAGAAAAGAAACTTGTCTGCAGAATTTGGGGCTATTTTTCTCTTAGGGTTGGACATTGGAGGGTGATTCAAATAAATGCAATGTGCCAGCTTACCTTGCCATCTGACTGTGCTTGCAGGAATATTAAAACAAAAACTGACACCGTCTAGTGAAAAATGTCTTTTTAATAAAGCAAGAAGTGTTTTTTCTTTAATGTAAAACAAAAGATGACACTGGAAAACTACTAGACCTGGTAAAACAATTTTTAAAGCAGTATTATTTAAAAAATGATTGTTTTCAGAGGTCTCTCTCCTTCTAACTAGTTGAAATGAGGTGTTTGACAAAACGCAATTTTGTTTTTATAACAATAACAGATTATTCATATCAAGAGCATCAAACAGGATTTTAAAAGTATGTTTGAGTAAAGATCTCGGCATGCACCATTCCATTCACCTTTGACATGATTTGGTCATTTTCCAATAATATCATGTTATTGATCATTTTTACATTTTTACCACAATAGTGACCAATGTGCTTTCAAAGCATCACCCAAAGAAGTGAGGCATGAGGAAGTGAAAGGAAAGAAATCATTAAAGCCTTTTTCAAAGTCCTAGGAGACTTTGGGTTGTTAACATTTTCTAACTCATTCCTGTCCCAGAAAAAGAGTGATGCTGAAAAGGAATCTGCATTTTATTGCCAAGGAGAGCTCTGTACCTAAAAAGGGAATCCTTACAGTCCAACATCAGCTTAAAAAACAAAAAAGAATCAGAACAGAAATAAATGTAGTGGTCAGTGTTTCAGTTCTCAAAAACAAAAGTCAGGTAGTAATGTCAGGGTATAGGATAACTGTAGAACTGGTGGCCTCTACACATCATTTTATGGCCGGGGGAACAAAGAGGCACAGAGAAGTTGCATGATTTCCACAGCTAAGGAAGAATAGAGCCTTAGCAACATTCCAGGTCTCCTGAGAGCCTCTGCCCGTTGCTTTTTCTACAGTACATGTTTTTGTTTTTATATACATAAATTTTTTTTTCAGTGAAGTCCTTTTCCACTTCACTACAGCCTATAGCTTTGGACAACTTTCAAATATTTTGCCAATGTTAAATCGGCAAGCCTTCTTGGCAATCTTGCCTTTTTCTCTTTGCTCTGAAGTTCTAAACAAATCAAAGTTTGGAGAGACTGAACTTTAATTTTATTAAAAAAATAAAGCCATGCACAGTTCCATTATTATTTTTTCCATTTCACAGTTTAAGAAAGTTAGAACTTCAGTGACTCTGAGAAGATGATCCCCAGGGTAGCCTGGAAACGAGGAGGAAGAGAAAGTAGCATTGATTCTAGGTGGCCCCCTTCACTTTTTATCCCCTTTACTCTGCATTAACTTTCTCAATTGCATTTATCATCTAACATAACATACACTGGATTATTTGTTTATTGTTTGTCATCTCCCTCTAGAACATGAGCTTTCTGAGAGCTGGGACTTGGTCTAATTCTTCACTGCTGTGTGCCAGGACTTGCAGCAATGCCTGGAATATAGTAGCTGCTTAATTATTTTGTTATAATCACGAATTTACTAAATACAGGTATATACCAGGCACTATACTAGGAATAGTTGCAACTTCCAATCTGTAACAACTCCGTGAAGAACTTCTGGTTATTCTTTTGTTTGTTTGTCTGCGGTACGCAGGCCTCTCACTGTTGTGGCCTCTCCCGTTGTGGAGCACAGGCTCCGGACGCGCAGGCTCAGCAGCCATGGCTCACGGGCCCAGCCGCTCCGCGGCATGTGGGATCTTTCCGGACCGGGGCACGAACCCGTGTCCCCTGCATCGGCAGGCAGACTCTCAACCACTGCGCCACCAGGGAAGCCCCCCTGGTTATTCTTATTTAACAGTGAAGAAACCGACTCAAAAAGTCTCATAGGTATTACAGTAAAGGGCAGCGCTGAATTTACCTGAATCCAAACTTTTCTCCCAACACAAAAACCTGTCTCCTAGGGGCTTCGTTGGTGGTGCAGTGGTTGAGAATCTGCCTGCCAATGCAGGGGACAGGGGTTCGAGCCCTGGTCTGGGAGGATCCCACATGCTGCAGGGCAAATAGGCCCGTGAACCACAACTACTGAGCCTGCATGTCTGGAGCCTGTGCTCCGCAACAAGAGAGGCCGCATTAATGAGCGGCCCGCGCACCGCAATGAGGAGTGGCCCCCACTTGCTGCAACTAGAGAAAGCCCTCACACAGAAACGAAGACCCAACACAGCCATAAATAAATAAAATTTTTTTTTTAAATGGCAAAATTCCTTTAAAAAAACAAAAAAACCTGTCTCCTGTTTCAGGCTAATAAATTGAACTGTGCATTTATTTCAACATGTCACCTTCTACTAAATGCATGTTCCCTTCTCCCAGGTGAATG